GGCTACCAAAACATTATTCTACAGATGCTTTATTCTACATTGCTAATTGGTTAATTCACATTCAGAATGAATTAAAATCCATTTCAAAGTAAAAAATTCCAGTAGACCCACAGGCTTTTTTTTCTGTCTTGAAGGATCCTGAAAAGTCATGTTGACACCCTCCAGTTGTAACAGAAACTAACTTGTAAAGTCTCCAAGTCTTCCACGCAACAGCATTTCCACTCTCAAGAAAAGCATTCCTGACTGCCTAATCCCATCTGCCCCAGTCCTCTGCATGCCCCTGCATTACTTCTGGCCGTGCCCAAGCTATTTCACCGATTGCCCCATCCACAGACCAGCTGGATAAGCAAAAGACAATTCTTACCTCCTCAGCAGCCATGTTGCCACAAATGACTGGAACAGAGGCTGCTTTGTATAATAAATAGTATTCTTTAGAGAAAACCCACCCTCCCAAATTCCCAGAGGTGGCCTGATGAAACTCTAGAAGTTCAAGGAAACGACGACAAGCGTTAAAACGCCACTCCCAACGACAACACGAAGCGTGCACTAGAACCAGGAGAGGCTTGCCAAAGCGGCCAGCGCTGGAGGCACTGCACGGCCACGGAGCTGGCAGGGAAGGAGCTCTGCTGGCTGATGGAGAGCAACCGCCAGGACCGCAGCGTTTTGTGTAGTTCACATGCCCTTCCGCTCCTCTCCTGTGCAAATCTGGTCCTCTGGCCAAAGGGATGTCAAGAAGTCTGGATACATCCTCAGGTTTATTGAACGACACAGGCTGGGCTTCTCTGCTTACGTGAAAACATCAGCGTTTTGCACTAAAAATGGATCTTACATTCCTCGGCAGCATTTCCAGGGAAATCACAAAAACTGCCCATGTTGTGCAGCTTGCAGATTCAGCTGCACGTTTTGGGCTACACATCGTCAGTGTAATAAAGGCAGAGGACTTTGCAAAGGGTCAGTCTGCTTTGTTCTGTTTTGTTTTGTTTTGGAGCTTTGCCGCTACACGGCATTTCCCCCTCTGCTCGCACAGGGCAGCCCCTGCAGGAGCCATCTGAACAGGCTGGCTCTCTGCTTAACAGCCGCTTCCTTCCCACCATGGCAGCAGATCTAATGCTCAACAGAAAACACAGTCACCTCTGTACCCTATCTGAAACACGAGAGAAGAGAACAATGCAGAAAAATAAAGATTTCAGATGCCTTGGGTTTGTCAACGTTGTTAAAGGGGGGAAAAGAGGGTGGCACTGGGCTGACATGTAAAGGCTGATAAAGCAATCCAATTATCTTTTTAATTAAATTCATGCAAGTACAAAAGCACACTGGCAGTAGTTCACGCTTTCAGTGCATTTTAAGCCACTGAAAAGCTAAAGGAACATAAAAACACACGCTGCAGACATTATCAAATGTGTTTGGGATTTCAGAACTGAGCAAAAATCTTTGTACTTCTGAGCTCCTTGGGGCAGGAGAGGGTCCACCGGCATTTTTAAGCTACCAGCAAGACTTCTACCATCATCACAGATCTCTTGGACTCTTTAGGAAACTTGAATCATAGAATTTAATTTCTCCTACTCACGTAGTGCCTTTTTTTAGAGTCTTTTTGTTAGACCCACTCCAGCACTAAATAGAATCTAAACTTCAAAGCCAACCAGCCAGCTTTGTAACTTGAAGCATCTCCTTTCTGACTAATTGAGGACACTAAACAAGGCTAGCTCAACAGATACATTTTCCATGCTGAAATTTATTCCTTGGTCCTGTACTACGAAGAAATCAAATTCAAAGCAGAATTCAAAGCTGGATAAAAAGTGGGGGCTGTGGGAGAGCGAGAGCTAGACCACTGGGTTATTGTATCCCTGCCTGCTCTGGGCTGCCCCTTGCTTGGGTGAGTTACAACATGATTTCGGAGAGCAGCTCCTTCAGCCTAAGGGACAGCTGTTGAAGGAAACCCTCTTGCCCAACAGGACGCTGCTCAGACAACCCTACCACAAATATCTTTCTTCCGCTGTCAAATCCACTCTTGCTTGGGGGGAGGGAGGAGCAAGGGAGGTTTCCTTTCCCTTTTAGAAATGTCCATTAAAAATTAGAATTCTGATGAGGCTGACGTACGTAAGAGAAAAGGCAGCAGGAGCTGTACTCCCAGCTATGCAAGGGAGACCTACAAAAGCTGCTGCTCAGACCAGGCAGACAGTGACTCAAAGGGAGCATCAGGGGACAGCTACCTTTGCAGACACGCTGAGACCGCCACAAGCAGAAAATCCAAACTTACCAGTCTCTGCTTCACATTTTCAGCACAAAGGGCTGCGCTGCACTAATATACTGAGCTATAATCTGCAAGTGACATTACAGAAGTCTTGAATGATGGTGGGAAAGCAGCAGAAAATAAATAAATAAATAGAGGAGCCATCCCCAAGAGGGTTGAACTCTGCTATCCTGAACCTTTGCCCATGGTTACGCTGCTGTTTTTCTCAGCAGAATGCGTTTCACTGTTGAGCGCTTTGCTGAAAGCCTCAATTAAGGCTTGAAACCTATCAGTCGGTTACAGAAGCAATTTGCTGTGTATCAGCAAGCACTTAGCCAACACTGAGCCATCTGCTCTATTCTACCTGTGCTGACTCCGGAGCAAGGAGAAACAATCACTCATGAGCTTAAAAGCAAAGCTGCCTGGTAAAGACCCATATCGGAGAACAGGCATGGCAACACGTGCGAGGAGTTCGCTCCCCCTGGATGTAGGTGTAAAAGATGCCTTCAGATGCTGAAAATACTCACACAACATTCATCACTAATAGCACGTACAAGAAAAATACGGGGATGGGAATCCAGTTTCACTGGGATTTCACTAAAAGCAGCAGCTCCTGCGACAATTTATGTGAGTGAAAATAACACGTGCCAACTTGGAATTTGACCCTCCTAGTTACTGACCAGCCAGAACCACACAGCTAGTGTCATTCCAAAATCTTGCTATGCTGACTTTAAAAGCAAAACCATTGAATTTAGTATGTACCCAGAAGAAGCAGCATGGGGAACAAGTGGCACTGACAGGGCGTCCTTCATTCTCAAATCACTCTAATTAATTTAAGTCTTGCAGAAACCCGAAGACCTAAGTCTCAATCCTCTTTAAGAGGAGGAGGAATTGAAGTCCACATGTGAAAAATTACTTTTCCAGTGTTACTAAGCAAGCAAATGTGACAAAAATCTGTAAGCAGTGGGTTTTGCCATCAGTGCTCAAAAGCTCCTGAACACTGCTGTGAACAGAAAGTTCAGGAGAGCCTAGGAAACTTTCAGCTTTTTAAAGTAACATCTTCATATGTTTTTCCATCCTATAATGGCCTCATCCTGTAGCCCTTGCTCATACACCACTTCCTTGGACAAGAATGGTAATACTGGTGTAGTTGACAACTAAGAAAAATGGGACTCTAAAGCACAAAATCAGAAGGCATGGAACAACTGTCTTTTTCAGACCTAGCAAGAGATTTCATGTTAGGAACATCTTAAAGCAGCCGGCGCACCTGATCCAAAAAAGGCAAGATGAAGTTAGCCTTCTTGATGACCAGATTTCATCCCTGCTTTGTACTGGTGGCCAGGAGACGTTCTGCACTCTTGGGAACCTGTCTTCCTGTCAGCAAATACTATCTATCTTCATTACATTAAAAAAATTAATTGCCAACCCTAATCCAGAATAGCCTGTTAAATTCTAGCTCTCTGCTCTTCAGCCCTTTACTGCGCAACAGCACGCAACTAATCGCTTCTTTATTGGAAAAGCTAGAGCTACTGCAGGAACGTACACTGACTTTGAGGGTTGCGTGTGCCAGCAATTGTTTATTTCTTGCTGAGCAACGAGGGCAGTTCCAGCAAAAGGGAAAAGGTCAACCTCCCGCACAGAGGTCCTCCCCAGCTCATTGCAGGGATGGCTGAGCCAAGCTAGTATTACAGTTTAACATTGATGGCACTTATGTAAAATGGAGATGCCTCTTGCTGGATGCAAATGTACAGAGGAAATAAAACACAGAGAGCAGACATCGGAACAGTTTTCTCCACTGCAGCAGAACATTTTGTTAAAATGCTGTATGACAAGAAACAGGAAGAGTTGCTTGCGATGTTCAACACACGCTTGGCTTGTCCTAAAGCCCAGGAGCTGTACCATGTATTCTTGAGCACCACCTGCTGGCATTTTGTCTATTAACTCGTTACCTTCGTGACAACAAAGATGGCATGGCATCCTCAGAACTCAGCTAGATCCATATTCTGCTTTTAACACTAGCAGGCATCACTTACTTCACGGTATTCTGAAAAATACGTAAGAATAACTTGTTGCTAACAGATGTTTCCCTGATAGCCAGAGATGGGCTTAAATCACCAGGTGGATCCACTGAAAGCCTTCTGAACTAAGTTCCTACCTGCAACATTTACCAATATGAAGACAAAAAGCAACTTACCTGAAAAAGACTAAGTCTATAAAAAGTCCCACTCCAGGCAAAGGGCTGGGGCCGGGACGAGATTATAGAAACTTTTCCAAATCGGGGACTTCAGACTGCTCATGCTGCAGTAATCAAACTCTTCACGACCTTCTGAAGGTTTTGCACAGAAAG